AATTCCACTCCTCCCCATGGTCCCAGTGGATGGCCACGCCCACCGCGGCCGCTGATACCACTCTTCCCCACGGCCCCCAGTGGATGGCACGCCCACCACGGCCGCCATCTTGAGTCGGGCAGCCCCCGCCCCTCCGGTCCTGCCGCTGCTCAGGCCCCTAAGCCGCTCCTTGCAGGCGGCAAGGTGGTCACCCGTGCCCAGGTGGAAGCCGGTTCCATGCCTGTTCTTTTCTTTCTTTTAGTTATTTATATTTTTATTGATTTTAGAGAGGGAGAGAGAGAAACATCCATGATTGATCAGCTGCCTCTGGCATGCCCTCTACTGGAGATCGCTTGCAACCTGGGCATGTGCCCTGACGGGGAATCCAACCCAGACCTTCTGGTTCATAGGTGGATGCTCAACCATTGAGCCACACACCCGCGGGGCTCCTTATTCCTTTCTGGAGAGCAGAAGCCGGGTCCTGGCTGGCTTGGGGGGTCCTGGGACCCGGGGATCCATCGCAGGCCCCGCCCCAGGTGGGCGGAGAGGGCCCTCGAGGGAGAGGGGATGGAGGAGTGCAAGCAAGGAAACCACGACCTGCAGGGGCATGCAGAGGCTGTGTTAGCCGAGCCTCCTTTCTTTGGAATAAATTCTTAATATTTGGAGTGGGAAAGAAAAGTAACTTCATAGGGTGATCTGATTGAAAATTACTAACGGGGCGTGTCAAGGTGGCTGGTCACACCCCAGGCATGTAACTTTATTTAGTAGAGGCCTGTATTTGCTTTAAGCAAGCCCTGCAGGTTGTTTCTGTGCACCCCTATGACTCAGTGGTTCTCAACCTGTGGGTCGAGACCCCTTTGGCAGTCCAACGACCCTTTCAGAGGGGTCGGCTAAGACCATCCTGCGTATCAGATATTTACATTACGATTCTTAACAGCAGCAACATTACAGTTATGAAGTAGCAACGAAAATAATTTTATGGTTGGGTCACAACATGAGGAACTGTCTTTAAAGGGCCAGAAGGTTGAGATCCACTGACTAGGTTAACACACTTCTGAAATCAGCAGTAGTCACCCTCAAGAGAGCACACAATCTTAACTATCCTGTAATCCAATCCCTGCATTACCTTCTCCCACATCCTTGTAACTGTTCTTAGTGCCCTCCTTAATCAAATGCATTAAAAAAAAGTATTCTCTGGAGCATTTGAGATCTCGCTCCCTGGCATATGGCATCAGTTTGGCTCAAATTCTTATAAAAACTCTCCGCAGGTATAGTCGGTCTTATGTGACGATATCATGTGAGCACTAATCCTCAATTTACATTTATCCTGAGCCAAATTAAGAACACATTTCGATGAACTAGTGTGGGGGTGCAGAATGAGCTACCTAAAGATGTGTTTCTGTGGAATGCAGATTGTTGAACTAAAGGCAATTTTAGCTTCAGCCTCAAGAGAAACTTCTTTACCTAGAAGAGCTTGAATTAGGGGCTTACCCATAATATGTTATCAGTGGTAACCGTTTTGACCCTACCTATATGGCAGGGAAGCTTTTATTTACTAAATATCTGCTCTTCTTATCTTACCCCCTTTGAAGCCCCCTAGGCACTTTACTTCATCCCAAGCTCATGCCCCTTGTGTACCTCAATCCCCCTTTCTATCTCTGAATCTGTCCTGTATGTGTGTGTGTGGAGGAGGGTGGGGGGCAATGTCTCTGTGTCTCTCATGTACATGGGATTTCCATACATATTCTAGGTATTTACAAAAACATGTATACAAAATCTGTAAAGTAATTTTCACATAGCACTCAGACTACAGAAACATTCCCTTGGAAGGAAAGAAGACATTATAGTACTGGCTTCATGGCCTAGAGCTCATGCCCTTTGAAAATTCACTTAAAGGTTGAAACCATTCTCAGACAGAAAACAGGAACTTATTGGGCAAAATAACTCTTCAACATTAGCTTTGAAAGAGGGCGAAAAAGAAACCTTTTGGTGATTGGGAGGAGTTTCCATGATACATAGTCAGAGTTTGTTCTTAATAGGTTTACTCTCAATCCTAAAACAAGATAAGGTCCAGCTCTAATCTGTTTGGCTCAGTGGATAGAGCATCGGCCTGTGGACTGAAGGGTCCCAGGTTCGATTCCGGTCAAGGGCATGTACCTGGGTTTCGGGCACATCCCCAGTAGGGAGTGTGCTGGAGGCAGCTGATCGATGTTTCTCTCTCATCGATGTTTCTAACTTTCTATCCCTCTCCCTTCCCCACTGTAAAAAATCAATAAAATATATATTTTTTAAAAAGATAAGGTCCAGCGGCCAGCTTAAAAAGACTAAATTATCTTTATTATCTTTGCTTAAAAGTAGAAGCAATAAAAAAATGTGGTATGCCTATATAATAGAATCGTATTCAGCAATAAAAAAGGAATGACATAAAATAACATGCTACAGCATTGTTGAACTTGAAAACATTACTTTAAGAAACCATTCACAAAAGCCCACATGTTGAATGACTCCATTTACATGAGATGTGTGCTGTGCCAGCATAGCCAAGGGTTCGGTGAGCCTGAGGAGGGCCGGTGAAGGATTAAAGAAGACAGACAAGAGAATACCGCTGGGGCTCAGTGCATCTCCCATACCTGGATGAGGTCACAGAAAGACCCAGACAGCAAGCCCAGGCTTTATTTTATAGTGAGATTAAAGCATGTCAACATGTTTACAATGTTCTTGCGAGTTTCACCTTGTTTTGGCAGCACTTGTTGCACCTCCCACAGCCCATTAGCTACCTATGAAGGAACTAGGGAGGGCTATAAGGTTAAGCTTAATTATGCTAAGAGGGCTCTACCCTCCAAGCTGGGCTTTGTTTGTGGCCCTGCCACAGGTCAGTCCGAGGCTTAACCCTAGAGCCGCTCCCTACAGAGATGTCCAGAGCAGGCAAGCCTATAGAGAGAGAAAGTAGATTAGTGGCTGTCAGGGCCCGGGGATGAGGAATGACTGCTACTGGATGTGAGGGTTCTTTTAAGAATGATGAAAATGTTCAGGAATTAGTGGTGATGGCTGCAGAACTCTGTGGATACTGTATACTAAAAAAATACTTTATACTTTAAGAGTAAATTTTATACTTTAAGAGTATACTTGTCCATCACACACCTGTCAGAATGGCTATCATCAACAAATCAACAAATGACAAGTGCTGGTGAGGATGTGGAGAAAAAGGAACCCTTCTGCACTGCTGGTGGGCATGCAGACTGGTGGCGCCACTGTGGAGAACAGTATGGAGTTTCCTCAAAAAACTGAAAATGGAACTCCCATTTGACCCAGTGATCCCACTTCTAGGAATATATCCCAAGAAACCAGAAACCCCAGTCAGAAAGGATATATGCACCCCGG